GGCGGGAGCGCCATCCCCTCTTCACCGCCACCACAGGGCTCTGCGGGAGGGGCGGGAACGCGTCATGCCTGTGCCCACTCACGGGCTCCTGCAGTCGTACCCAATCCCCTCCCCTCCCATCCCGCTGAATGGCAAGTAGGCTAATGTTTCTGCTTCGTTTGTTCTGTGCTCATACGCTGCCCGCGTTCCAAGCAGTGGTCCTCAATGGTTGGTCGCTCTGCGTAGTGTTCAGAAGAGATTAAGAAAAAGCATTTTTTTCCCTGGTGTGCAACCGCTTCAGATTTATGTAGGTTGGCAAAGCCTGAGGAAGGTCCCAGAAAACAGTATGTATGTGGCTGCTGTTAACTCACAGGTGCTTGTATGTGGAGCTCTGGGAGAGGGGAGCCTCCCAGCCGCAGTCCAGCAGGTTTTCCCTGCCCCAGTTCAATGCCCTACGGATCTGGCCCAGCTGCTTCCAGTCTGGCACGTCAATAGCCTTTTTCACAGCAGTGTCCAGAGTAAGAGGCTTGTGATTTAGCTCCGTGCCTCTTGATCTCACAGCGCTGAGATCACATCACACAAGAACTTAAGTAACTTAACGGAGTTGCTCTCATCTAATGGCTCAGTAGCTCCCAAACAACACTCCTGTGTCATTGTTCTTTCCCTGGCTCCCTGGAAGGAATACATTGCAGAAGATGCTGCACAGGGTCCTCCCTTTGACCTCATAGCACAGTCTGTGAGCCACAGCAAAGAAATGAAAAACATTCATGACCTGAGCTAATTTTGGTGGCTTCACTGAAGTGACTGTACTGCATAACTTGTAATACTGTGTAGTTTGAACCATACGTTGCAGTGAAACATGTTCGTATTATATCTGTAAATTGCAGTAATATATCTAGTTGTAAATAAATAATTCAATGCTCTGCAGACATTCAGGAAGATAAAGGCACTTAGGAAGTGAGCCCTCTAGTGTATTTTTAAATGCACTTCAGAAAGAGTATATTTCTAACATCTTCATCTTCTGGTTGCCTCCACAGTATTATTATTGTGTCAATTACTTTTTTTAACCTTACACTCAGATAAGTTCAGATTCGACTGAATGCTACTCAAGGTCTGAAAATGTACTACAATTAGGGTCTGGCTATCCATCTGTACTGGAAAATGAATCTGTTCTCAGTTCTGTTAACTAGTTTACTTAAAAGCATATCACTGTCTCTACAAAGGGTATTTTCAACACAGAAATCTTTATTTCTTGCAAGCAGTCCTCTCGGGTGGTGGCTGGGCTTTAGGAGCTTGTTGGAAAGTTTCCTTGATTGCTGTTTTTAAAATGCCAGGTGCTTGCACTGTTTTGCTCTTGCTGCACTGAAAAACCTGACAATCAACAGGTTGATTACTCCTAATTCTTTCTAATGAGACAATCTTCAGCACTTGCATTAACAGGGGGAAAATTACGGCCACATTCTCCAGGTGTATACAGATGGATGGAGACCTTGCTTACCTGGTGAAGAACATGCTGTGTGTTTACATTGTAAGAGGGGGAAAAATATTGTGGGCTGATCTTGAGGAAATACACCTTTCTGCTGCAGAAATGCCACTTTTCTTGCTGGATTACAGTTGGCGATTATTTTCAAAATTGTCCCAAGACTAGGAAACAGGGAAAATCCTTGATGTTAAATTATGGGACAGAACAGAAACCAGGCGTACTGGCTCCTGTGCTGTTGTGAACAAAACAGTAGTAATTTCAAGAGCTCCTAGTTTACCTCCTGTTTCCTTTTTGGTATCCATATTGTTTGGGTTCATTCTGCTTCGCCTGGTTGTAGTTTCTAACTGTAGTACTTTCTTCTGATTCTGAACTCTGAGCACGAACACCAGGATGAACTCCTTTTCAGAAGTCAACCTCTATGAGAGTTTTTTTTGTTTTTCCTGTAGAGAAAGCTGTTGTTCTGAGCTTCCACTGTTGGCATTACAGAGGGGTTATCAGCAAAGAGGAGATGACATTTCTAGTCTACAGAGTGCTGTGTGTTATGAAGTTAGCATTGATCAGTCCAGGGACCAAAAGGTTTGGATTGATATTGCTGGGTGTAAATTCCACAAAGAGAATGCCTAGATCATTCTGTGTTCCCTTCAAAAGGCTTGCATTCCTAACCCTTCCTCTATTTTCCAGGGCAAAGAAGTCAAGTCCAGAACTCTAAATATCCAGTGCACCACTACTTTTAAACAAACGCCAAAAAACATGCACCCACTCAAAAACCCCAAAACACAAGTGCAAAAATGCTCAAACCAAATATATTATGGAATAAACGTCCACAGCCCAAAGTATTCTTATATGGGAAATCAACCAAGAAACCAGAAGCTAATGTATCACGCAATTTACCCACTGGCTTTTTAATTCCTTACCTTGATACGGGAGGCCTATAACTAAGTTTACATAACTATAGTTTGCTATATAATCAAGTGCATTCAGAGCAGATGGTCCTTTGCTATGCAACAACAGGATTTCGCTTGTCATTTAAGATTAGTAAAGCAGGAGTTAGTGCTCTAAAAACCAGTAAGAACTGGATCTTTAGTTCTGACTGTGGCTAGAGCCCCAAGGGACAGCTGGATACCAACAGAGCCTGTGCAAGAACAAAGTTCATCCAGGGGGCACCGCGAAGAAGACTTTTTGCTTCATCTAAAGACCTCGGCCCAAGACCACCAGGAGACAGCATGCAAGCATAGACTGGCAAAAAGCTAATTAACATACGAAGCGAGAGTAGGCAGGGATAAGTTATGAATATAGGCAAAGATGAAACTTTCATAAATATGTATGAACTTAAGTGTATATAAACAGTGTCCACTTAGTTTGAGACACATGTGTTTGTGGTGGAGCGATCCCCCATGTGTGTCCTAGCGCTAGAATAAACATACCATGGCATCTTTGTCCCCTGTGTCAACCTCACCTGTCTTGCATTGTGTAATATATTATCAATTAAAATTTTTGTGCACTTTAAATGTAAAGATTTAGGAACTTAAGATATATCCCTAATAATCAGATTCCTTTCATAACACAGAATGTGTCCCAGGGAAGTCACCTATATATATTATGACACAAAGTTGGATGGGCGTGTTGATCCGATGGGTCCTGCACTTGGGTCACAAAAAAGGAGTGCCAGACTATTCCAGGCAGTGCTACCAACAATTTTCTAGGGCATTTGGTTAAATCAGAGGAGGCATTCACTATATTGTCCTTATATTAAATTTATAGGAACAAGTTTCAGCTTACAAATGCAGCTATCTATACTTACTTGTATCCTAAGTTCTGTTTAGATTTTCTAAAAGTAGCTGATGTCACTGGCAAAATAAATCAATTTATTAATTTTCAGTGAAAGAGCAATTTTTGCTTAAAATAAAACAACCTCCCTAGGATACAAAGTACCATTAATAGTTTACCTGAATTCATATACAGGTACAGTTACAAACTGACAGGAGAGGATTTTATTGCTCTGCACTCAGACTCACCATCATTGCTGCTAATGACAAATATTTTCACACTTTTTTTTCTAAAACTGCTTTATATCCTGCTTTTCCCATGGCACACAGTGCAAACCAACAGGCCTCTGACTTCCCTTTTGGTGATGTTCCAGGCAGCAGAGGCACCTGCGTAAGCTGACTGATGACAGAGACTTCACTGTTCACCAGTACAATAGAAATGTATCCTTTTTTTCACTAACAAGGGAGGGCATTGTACATATTGCTGAGATGACTTTGAAATTTGAACTGTACTGTTTGACCCTTTGAATAATTATTGCTACAAAAAAAAAGCATAGAAAGGAACACAAGTGGCTTAAGTCTTTTTCCTTGCAATGCTAACTTGCAAGACCCTTTACATCAAATTTTCATCCTTTTGTTTCTCTGCAGAAGTAACAGACTCTAATGAGGTTGGTTTTTTTTATGTAGTGTTGCTTTACACTGAATTCTCTGCAATTCTTACTCTTTCAGAGTAACCTCTAAAAGCTTTTTGCAGCCTAGTACATATTCTTGTGCAAATGTATAATTGGGGTCTCCTGTTAAATGCAAAATTTGAGTACTTCTTAAATTGTGCTTTTTCCAACTAAATCAATTTATACAAAATGAGCAAATACTTTGGCTTACGTTGTTCTAACTCATCTGTATCCTTACTAATTGTGCATGTCTTGGATTTCCTTAGGTCCTGAGTGAAAATGGGCCTCATCAGATGGTGTAACTGGTGAGCATACAGTTGGAATGAAAAAATGCAGTCTCTTTAGAAAGTCTACAAAAAGCAAGCCCTCAGAAAGTGATAATTTCTTTTTAACCATGAAGAGCCCTGCCTTCATATAGCTACATATAGCTATATAGGCAACATATAGCTGCATCCTATCCTTTGTAAAATTGAGCATGAGTGCAAAAGTTCTCATTTCTACTGACTCCACTAAAATGCATTTTTAAGTAGATTGAAGAACTGTACTCTTTGCAGCTTTAGGCTGTGAATACAAATGTATATTACATAACATTATCCTCGTAACTGATCCCCCTTGTAATCATCCGCTATAGGTTTGCCACCAGGTTTTGTGGGAGGATAATTAGCAAGGTTCCATAAAGCTTTACTGGTAACTTAATTGGAAGAAAAACTGCTTTGTCTTTAAGTTAAGGGTTTGTATCTGCTTTTAAAAGAATGGGTGACTACATGAGACATGTAGTCACTTATGTTGGCTTTCTGTAAAGCATATTTGAAAAAAGAGTAAGGTAATTTCGAGGTACTCTTCAATGAGGAATGAGGGCCTTGATCTGCTTATTCAACATTGATCGGAAGTAAAGAAATTTTTGTAGATGCTGGACTACATTTCACTGTTTTGTTTTACTTTTGCTCTGATTTCCTCTGTGCTTTTGTTTGGGTAGGTAATTTCTTGAGGGAGCTGTATCTAGTGCTGTAAGTTTCTAAATTAAAAGATATTTCTTTCATTAAAGGTGAAAATATTTTCATATACATTTTCCTTGATTTCATGTGCTGTTAATAATGCTATTAAAATACTTTCCAGAAAGTTTCTATCTTGCCATTTTTTGTTTGTCTTAATTTACATGGAAGTGTTTTATTTTTAATACGTGCATACTTAACAAATAGAAAGACACTGCTGTTTTGAAAGAGCAATAGCTATTAAATATTCATGGCTTGTGCTTGGTTAAGGAGGATCAGTAACCCCTGTTGCATTGACACAAAGGATTTTCACTGTAAAATGGAAACTTTAGTATGAAGGCTGTATTCTGACTATCATTCAGATTTTACATATATTACAAGTTGTTCTACTTGCCTGTTTAGTATCTCTGCAGTATGTTTTAAGAAATGGGGGTAAAACCTTATGCAGTAACAAATGTGTTCAAGTTCACTATAACCAGTGCACCTTTGTGAACCTTTTTAACATTTAATTAAGGAACGCTTGCATACAAAACATTGCCATTCTCAGACAAAGCCCACTTAGGATCTACATATTGCAAGCGTAGTTTCCTTACTCCTTGCTTGAACTTGCACTTGTCCATCCTAAGGAATCTTTTTATCTCTCTCACTATGTAGACTTTTAGCTTCCCTGCTCTTCTGGAATTGATGTTATTCTCCAGTCTTACTGTTAGAGCCATAAGGCTCACTGTCTTTATTAGCTTCAATAGCTCCAGAGTAATCAGTCTTAACTTCATCTGGGAGAGTTAAAGAAGACTGTTTCCTACAAAGTATATCATAGTTTCTTCCTGTTGTAGGTTAGGATTTTTCTTATACTTTCTAGCCTCCTGGTGTTACCAGAAGAAATGGACCAGAGTTATATTCACCATGAATCTTACTGTATTTATCCTCTGTACCTTCAAGTTATAAGCTTGCCTGAAAACGTCACTTATTTTCAATTATTCTGATTTTACTTCTACTTTCTCGCTGGTGGTCCTCACCTCTTTACTACTAGGGGAAATGCTGTAATACTGGTTGCAGATCTTTAATAAAAAAGCCTCTGTATTGTGAACATGAGCTTTCTCTGACCCTGGGTGTTCAGCTTCAGTCAAGAGTCCAGCAGATTTTAAGTGCTCAGTTTCTAAGGTGCAGTGTAGTCCTATTTGCTGTGATCTCTGAGGAGATCTTTTTTATAGCAGTGACATCTGTCAGGGCTTATCTTTGAGTATCAAGCCTCAAATGCCAGGATTGACTTGGAAACACACTGGCAGTTGGTGCTTGGATAAGAGAGTTTTTAACCTTGCTTTATTTTCTCATGGGTATTAACATTTTCTAAGCTGAAGGGTGCTGAGCTTAGAGCAGGAGAGGAAGCAAATGGGTGTTTGCCTTTTGAAGAAAGAGACTTGACATCTCCTGAAAGATTAAGAAAGCCATATGGCATAAACACCCCTCTGTAGGACAGGACAGATTGAAACACATCCAGTATAATGGAGTCATCCCTGACTCAGCTTCTTCCGGACACTTTGCAAAGAGAAGACGATTGTTCCACTGAATGCTGCCCCCACTCCCCCCAAGTCTGTTCTTGATATGTTACCAGCTGTGCAGCAGGTCACAAAACAGTGTCCTATAGGATACCCTTTCTCTATTCTTCTACACCCTGCTACACAAAAAGAGTGAGATTCATTGTCAGGAGAACCTTTCCTTATTGAACAGTTTGGTCCAAGCTCTGACAAATTGTCTTCTTGCAAATAATTTGGGCCAACCACATTTTTGGTGTCAGTAGCTCTGTATGATGTACAAACAAAGTGCATTCAAACATCCAGCTTAGCCCCATCACGCTAATATGGAATTGCTAATAGGAAATTGTGTTCTAAAAATAAGATTAATTTAGTGGATTTGGGTTTTTTAATATTGGAGGTAAATACAGCATTCACAATAGTATTTTTTGTGAGGGAAAAAAAGAAAAAAAAAAGGAGGGGAAGGAAATGTGGCTTATATTGTTCAAAAAGAAGCCCTCCAGATCCCTAGCAGTGTGAATTAGCAGTCGTGTTCTTTGGCAACCATGCTGACATAATCAAGTTGATACTCTGGCCACACCTTTCTAAATAATTTATTATCAATTCATATTAACTGACTTCCTTTTTCCACTAAGTAGAACTCTCCTACTTCGCCTTCCAAGTAATTTTTATTCCATAAGTGGGAAGGAGGAGGGTGGAGAGGTAGACAGTCTTTGCTTTTGTATTTTCTTTGAGAACAATTAAATGCTTAATAGTGGGGATTTAAAATATCGCCTTATTTCCTTTACCAATTAACTTGCAATTACCAATTAACTCACTTCTTGTGAGTTCTCATTAGAGTATGTCAGAAGTTTTTCTGTATACAGCATTATCTGTATTTTATTTGATAATAGTAACTACTAAGTTAATATTTCTGTAAGAGTATCTCTCTAACCAGTGAAAGGCTCTATGTGCTCAGATGATATGTGTATATTACCATATGCTAATATATGAAAACTGTGGTAGCCTCCATACCCCCAAACCCTCAATTCTTAGCTCACCACAAGGCTTATTCAAACCATGCAACTAAAAAAATTTTGCTTGAGGGTATTTGCTAAAAATACTTTGTACCAGGTAATCAGGACAAACTTGCCTGCTCTCACAGTGCTGTTATTCAGCCTATGGAATTTGCATTGTAGTAGTAGAGTACTGCAGTCTCTTACCTGAATCATCTGCCAAAGAAATGTTGGTGAATGTGCCATCCTCCTCATCCAAAGGTAACTCCATTTTTCTGCCTTTTCCCAAAGTTTTTGACATGTGTGTTAAGCATGGCAGTTGTCCGCCATTTTTAAGTGCACTCGTGACTTCTCTGGTTAAATCTTTAATGAATTGTTGGCAGCTGCACACGTCTTGCTCTGTCTCCTCTGAACCTTGAGCTCTTTTGCGGAAATTGTTCAGCTGGAAGGTTTCTGACTTCTCACTGCTTTGACAAACAAATGCTGAACAAACACTACTATTACAAGTTTTTTCTATAACGGAATTGTATCCATCCTGGCTGGCTTTTTGCTATCATTGTTCTTTATTTTCTCTAGGACTACACATGGCATTTTCTTGGAGGGGTTTTTGATAGAGAAAAGAGCAAAAGTAACTTAGTGTTCAAGAAATATTGCTAACAGTCCACAAAAATGCCATGGATAGACCTGGGAGCAGCAATTTTAAAATAAAACCTTCAAATACTTAAGAATGTGAGTGATTTTATTTACATGAAACAGCTGCATCAAAACCAATCAGTTAATGTGAAAAAGTGAAAGTATGTAAGTGTCTGATGTTCTGTGGTAGAGGACAAGAGGAAGGAAGAGAAATCAAGTTCAAAGAAAACCTCTTGTTTTGCTTCTTAAAGAATGCTGGACATAGTTTGAACATACAAATTAAAAATTCATCTCAAGCTGCTTACTTTAAGAATACCTCAAGGAATATCTTTTATTTGTACTCCTGCAACACAGTGTTTTCTTGCAATTAATTTGAAAATATTGTTAAGAATAATACGTTCCAGTTGCTGTTTGTAAACCCCTTACTTACCTTGTACCCCTGTCCCAGGTTTACTTACCTTGTACCCCTGTCGCAAATTGCTGTACCCCATATTTCTTGTTCCTTGTTCAGCCAGGCCCTGCCCCCTCTCCCAAGTTGCTGTACCCTGTGTTTCTTGTTCTGTGTTCAGCCAGGCACTGCCCCCACTGCTCCTAGACTCCCACATGGCAACATTGTATCCCTTTCCCGAGTTGCTGTACCGCTCTGAGGAGGAAGATGACATACTGACTTTTATGCAAACCAGAGAGAGACCAGAGACTTATGGGATGCACCCAGACTGGAAAAGACCCCAAAACAATGAGCCACGCAAAAGGGAAGGAATAGTACCAGCACCATCTAACAAGGAAGACCCAGAGGAGTCCCCTGGCTTCTTTCCAGAGGCCGACATAACCTTGAGGAGACTCGACTGGGATGACACCCTAGACTATGAGACCCAAAGAATGAGTCTCCCTGGGGACTCTTGTGAGGAAAGAAGGCCTAGCTCTGCTGTAGTGGCAAAGCTGCATGGATCCTTCTCTTCTGCTGTGTCCAGTGAGAGCAGTGGTGGTGTGTGTGATTCCCTTGGGCCCCCACACTAGAGCTGTTGTGTTTAATAAAAGCCTTTTTAAAAGGAGCTGGTCTCTTGGCCCGTTTATCTCAATATAAATTAGCCTTAATTGAAGGCAGAACAGTGAATAGTGAAATCACTGTTTTCGGGGTGTTGTGTGTTCAGAATCTACCTGTCCTTTATTTTTTTTAATCTTGTATTCAGAAAGGGACTGTAAATTAAGGGTGTTGACAAATTTATCTTTTTCTTAATTTTAATTCAGAAGCTCTCTAAAGTCTAACTAAAAATCAAATACTAGTTTTGTGAAGCACTAACTATCAAACGAGAATTCTCTGAATTTGTATTTTTCCTTTCACACTTTTGGATGTAATCTTGGACTTCTGAAACAGCTTCTATGAACAAAGAAAATGCATATAGGTTTTCAGGACAAAGGACATAAGACACAGACTCACAGAACTAATTAAGCTGGAAAAGACCTCTGAGAGCATCAGGTCTAACCTTTGACCTTTGACTGATCACCACCATGTCAACCAGACCATGGCACTCAGTGCCACATTCCTTGAACACCTCCAGATGACTCCCATAACCCTTAGAAGCCCATTTCAATGTTAAAAACCCTTTCTGTGAAGAAATTCTCCCTGATGTCCAACTTGAACCTTCCCTGATGCAACCTGAGGCTGTTTCATTTCCTGTTGCTTGTTGACTGGGAAAAGAGGCTGACCTCTGTCTGTCCACAACCTTCTGTCAGAGAATTCTAGAGAGTGATAAGGCCCCCCTGGGCCCCCTTTTCTCCAAGAGAAACACCCCCAGCTCCCCCCACCTGCCTCTCACAGGACTTGTGCTCCCTCAGACCCTTCCCAGCTCCATTGCCTTTCTCTGGACATGCTGTAGCACCCCAATATCTTTCTTGTAGTGAGGGGCCCAGAACTGGACACAGCACTCGAGGTGTGGCCTCACCAGTGCTGAATACAGGGGCACAGTCACTGCCCTGCTCCTGCTGGCCACACTATTGCTGATCCAGGCCAGGGTGCCACTGGGCTTCTTGGCCACCTGGGCACAGCTGGCTTGTGTTCAGGTGCTGTTGACCAGCACTTCCAGATCGTTTTCTGCTGGGCAGTTTTCCAGCCACTCTGTCCCAGCCTGTGTTGCTGCCTGGGGTTGTTGCAGGCCAAGAGCAGGACTTGGCCTTGTCACAGAATTGGCATAGTCGCACTGGTCCAGCCTGTCCAGATTTCTCTGCAGAGCCTTCCTGCCCTCCAGCAGAACATTCAAACCCAACTTGGTGTCATCCACAAGATTACTGAAGGTGCACTTGAGCCCCTCATCAGATCAGTAAAGATATTAAACTGGACTGGGCCCAATAGAGAGTCCTGGGGGACACTACTACTAGGCCATCAAGTAGATGTGGTACCATTCACCACTCTAATGACACCAAGCATTGGAACTGGTGCAGCTTGCTGAAATTAAAAGTTATGCTACTTTTTAGTTTTCTTCTTCTTCTCTTTTAATTGCTTTGTTTTATTTAGGCTTTTCTGTTTGCATCGGTGAAGTTACTGACAGCTGCTTTCATACATTAGTGAAAACCAAGCACATCTTTCATTTTCAGAACTGTGTTGAGTTTCTCATTTTTTGTTTCATACAGTTCAGAACCAGCTCAAAATTTACCTTAATGGTCTTGAGGTTCTCCTGCCCAAGGCTAGGGATTGGACTAGATGATAGGTCCCTTTCAACTCAGCATAGTCTATGGTTCTTGATACTCTGTAAAGAGACTTACTGGTTTCATTCCAGACCCTGGAGTATCACAAAGAGGTTCTGGATCAGTTGGGGTTTTTTTTGCTTCTTTCTGGGATGCAACAGCATGCTTCAAAGCTCTCATGATGAAGATAAAGCTAGAAAACATTTTGATCTTTGTCTTCATTGCATTTTTTTGTTCTCAGACATACTGTGTATGGTAGAAGCATTTCAGCAAATTAGTTTGGAAGGTCAGTTTCTAAAAATATATGCAATTATATAATCTGTTAATCTGTTATCTCTGAATTTTAAAAAATTGTATGCTTATGGAACCTAGATCTTGTCTGATCTGTGAATCTGTGAACCCCATCCGACCGGTTTAATTAACTTCTCAAGCCTATACATACTGTTCTATTATACTGGCTGTGCAGGTACCTTGTGGTAGATACAGTTTCCATGTAAATTATTAGCTGGTTTTAGACAGTTTGTCAGAGCAGCCAAGTAAATATGGATGTTGTGCAGTTTTTATCCATGTCTAGATCAAAGCCATTAGCAGAAGTGTTAGATAGATTAGTGTTAGATAGATTATTAAAACAGAGCAAAGGCTCTATTTTAATAAGAGTCAGCAAAAAAGACTCCTCTGGGTGAAGAAGCATATGATTCAAGGAGGAGTTGGGCTGTCTTCTGAGATACACCAATCCCTGCAATTTATGAAGTCAAGCTCTTATATTTGTGCCAAGTGCATTCCACTCCATATGGCACCAAAGAGGAGTTTTTTGTCCTGCCCTACAGAGTCAAGACTCCAAGGCTCAAAAGTAAGGCTCTCTTCAAGTGTTTCAGAGCTCATTAAAGCTCCCCGTGAAAGAAGGGCCTTTGGACAGATGGCTTGTTTGATTCATTTCCTCAGTCACTGCTTCTGCCTTTGAAGGAGAGGGAAGGTATAGGTAAGTGTCTTCAGGTGCTTGTACATGTGTACATGTGTATATAGACAAAGACATGGGACTTGGAACCCGCGTTATTTTACAGAAGCCCTTTGCTTCCTGTGAGGACCTGAGAATCAGATTTGTGGGAGACTTACACAGCTTGTTCATGGAAGACACCTTTACTGACATAGAGATGGGGTATAAAAGGAGTCTACAGCATGATCTTGTTTCGTTCTTGCGCCAAATAGTCTTTATATTTAAACATGCACCTGTGTTCTATAACTTTAAAGGCACTGTAGAATTAACTGTGGCTTGCTTGTTTCTATGAGTGATTTGGTAAGAAACATTTTCTTTAGTGGCATTCTGATATTTTATTAGTGAAAAAACATTTTTGGACAGGAGATGCCATGTTAAAATACAAGTACCCATTTCTTGCTGTCAACATGTTTCTTTTAAAAAGAGGAACATAAAGGATGGGTAGCAAACAGAGGAAGAAAAAAGCTTAAAAGAAAGCTGTGCAATGGAGTTAACTGTCAGGGCACAGTGAGTTTTCACTGAGTGAATTTTCACTGGAGCAACGGACATTAATATAAAAGTTAATTTGGTTATAACATATCAGTTCTCCTTCTGAGAACTTCATTAACAAATTGAGCAGAGGTTATGAAATGCTGAGCAGCTGTCTGGCTGCCTTTTAAAACAGCTGTCAGGAACTGTCAGAGGAAGTTTAGGGTAGTGAAGTATGGGGACAGCTCATGTAGCCATGTGCTGGCCTGGTTTTGATGAGTGTTGATAACAAACAGAACAGCCACTGTCTGGTTATGATGGCCATGAAAACAACAGATAAATGCCCAAGAATGTCTTCAGGCTTGGTACTGAAATGAAGCCCAGGATTTTGTAGTTGGTCTATGTCAAGGACACAATTGCTGAAGGGTGTAGGTCCCTAGATTTAAAACACCGTAGCTAAACCTCCCTGGTAGTAGGTTTGCATTTTTATTACTGTAAGTACTGTGTAACCGTTTTCTAATTTAAATTAATTAATAGTGACCTGAAAAGGAAGTTGTCTCTGAGTTAAGTATGGATTTATGGACTATTTTAGTGAAACCACAGCATGTGCTATGATTCCTATTTAT